AAAGGCAACTTTCTTGTTGGCGGAGACTTTTTTGTGAAGTGGTTTCAAACTAAGCGGTGGCGCGGAGGCAGTTAAATTTCAACTGGATGGGAGCAGAATCCAAGTTGTTTCGCGGGTCTGTAGGGCGACGGTAGTGATTGTCATGGATACTTGTGCACATTTTGAGACCGTTTTCTTTGCCTTTGTTTACCGATTTTTAAAGCCCGTGGAAGCCGGGCTGCCCAGTTTGCAGTTTTTCCCGTGCTCACTTTCCTCCTCAGAAGTTCGGTGCCGGGTGAGGGGCTTGAAGCTCCAACTCGGGCACCAGCGAGGACAAAGCTTTCACACTGCCGCTTTGGAGATGCCACCAGTGGGCCCATGGCGATGTGACTCTGCAGACACCAAGCACCTCCCGGACTGCCTTGGTTTCTGCTAGATGCCACCAGTGGGCCCATGGCGATGTGACTCCAAGCACCTCCCGGACTGCCTTGGTTTCTGCCCCTTGCAGAGCAGCTCTGGCTCGCTCCTAAGCTGGGCTGAAATCTCCAGTGGTTCGAGACCATTTGGTGCACATGGGAGCAACACTTTGGGGAGGTTGGGGTGGCCAGTGAGGTTATTTGTGCCATTCATTCTGGCCACATGAGTCATGTGGGTCCCTAAATACGGCAGCTTGCTCCTCTCTGAAGCGATGCCATTCATTTCTGACACCACGGTTTTGCTCCCATGTACACATGAGTGCCCCTGGTTAACACGGGCTGGGCAACTTGGGACTCGCCTCCTCAGCGTGGGTGGGACCTACATATGGATTTGTCCCTGGACAAGTTTGCCTGGGATTAGTGGAGTCTCTCAGACCATGCCCCTCGCAGTGGGCTACACAAAACACATTCCCTTCCCCCCAAAAGACGGCAGAAGGAGGCCTGAACCCTCCTTCATCCCCAGCCTCACCCAGGCTGCGCATAGGTCCCTCCTTCCACTTAGGAATGCAACCCCCGTGCCCAGGGAGAACGGGAACCCACAGGCGATGGGTTATTCAAGGATAATGGGTGGGCGGAGAAAAAGCAGACTGAAGAGAGGTCTCTTCATTTCTCATGTTAATTAATGCAAGGTGAAAAGCTGTAATTAAGTTTTCAGGGCTGTGAATCCAGAGTGGAAAGAAGCATGTCCCGCTCAACCTGAACAAGGCACCCAAGCCCCAGACAGGATGAGGCTGTAACACACCCTTTTCCCCAGCATTTCTCGCAGGCTAATTTAGGTAGCTCATGTACAACACCCCGGGATGTTTGGGTTGGTGGGGTTTTTTTTAAATCCCATTCCCAGGTGCCAGGCAGAGTGAGTGAGTGTGCTTGTTCGGTTCCAACGGCTTCAGGTAGGTGAGAGAAGGGTGGGAAGGAAGGGACAGGCATGCAAAAATCAGGTGTTGCAATGCCGGCTGTCATAGCACTCACATTCCCGTGTAGCTCCGAGCCCAGGTGACCAGGCCGAGTTATAAAGCCAGGCATCTCTGTTTCCCAAGGGATCAGCTCTTCCCAATTATTTCTTTTTTTTTTCTTCATGAATTAGTAAAGAATCAGTGCTGCTGCTAATGGAGATGTGTCTCTAAGTATTTTTTTAAAATCATTTCAGAAAATTTACAAGGAAAAAATATTCAGGTGGTTTCTGTCCTGTTGTGGAAAGGTAATAGAGACAGGAAAGGAAACGTTTAATGCCTCACACTTCTCCTTCGGCACACTGTGTGCTCAACCGTGTTTGCTGAGTGTGTCTGGTTCTCCCGTGGGGTTCCCATGAAACTGCCTTGTACAGACAATTGCACCACACGTATCCGAGAGCTGTGCTTGTTCCAGCTATTTTCCTTTTCCATTCCAGCAGAGGTAAATAATAAGGTTTCCAAGGGCCAGCATCTGATATGTTGGTCCCTGGTATGAAAAAGTCTTCATAGCAGTCTTCATTGCCTCCTCCTCCCCGCTCCTCCTCACCTTGGAGCTGTAAGAAAACAGAGATGACATTTTAATCTTGAAAATAGAAGTAAAAAGAAGATAGTGTAAGAGATGCTAAGGCACAGGCCCAAGGCAAACAGTCTCCCAGATCATCTCCCTGCCTGGAGACCAGGTGATTGATACCTGATGTCTGTGCTTCCCTGTCCTAGGAGCCCAGGCTCATAATTGTGTTTGTGTACCCTGAGTCTTTGTGTTCCCCAAGAGCAAATTCTGGCTGCTGAACTAAGGGTGAGAAAGAAAAGGTGCCTTGAGACTTCTCTGCTGGTTCACCTGCCAACTTTACCATCCTGCCTCAGGTCTGCTAATCACACCTGCAAGGGTAGTTTCTGAAGCACAGGTTCAAGCAGCAGGAGCAGGAACAGAAGATAAAAGCAGCCATT